AAGAAAGAAAGAAAGAAAGAAAGAAAGAAAGAAAGAAAGAAAGAAAGAAAATCCCTTGCTCCACCAGAAGGATTTTCAGGGAGGGGGCTGTTCCTAATCCACAAACCTCCCCCCCCCTCCTCACATCTCTCTGAGCAAGCAGGTTCTTCTCTCTGGAGAGAACAGGGGAGCAAGCAAGCTCTGGGGCCTTACGCTTCTCCCGAGGGCCCATTCGTGGTTCAAGAGGAGGCACATTGGGATCCTTCTGCTCTGCTTCCCTTGTGCCGGAACCACAGTGCTATTTGTCCCGGCTCGTCTGCAGGGCAGAAAGTTTACCCTTTTCTTCACTAGAAGCAAAAAACGTGCGTTGGTCATTTTTCATCCTGTCATCAGAGACACGGTTCAGTGCTTCCTGCAACACTATGTCCTTCTAACTTGAGGACAGATCAGTCCTCAATGGCTTTTTCTATTTTATACACACGCGTGCACACACACATACACATATATACACCTTATGCCACTCCCTTCTCCATCCCAGACTCCCAGAAGACAGATGAAGAGCTTCACTGAATCCTAGAAGGAGAACATAGAAGGCTCCTATGTATCCATTTTGCTTTGAGGAAGGGAAACCTGGTCTACTGTGCATTAAGACCCAAGTTGCAGATGAATCAGAGGCACACCTGATTATGTACTTTAAGAACTTTTGGATGGAAACAATCCAGGCCCAGCGGTATGTTGTTTTCAGCCAGCAATAAACTCATATTCCCTTCCAAACAACAAACATCTGCCCCCCGCATGAGCAGCAACAGTGGTGGCCACCAGGGCTGGCTGGCCAGGCAGAAGAGCAAGATGGCAGAGCCCCGGAGTAGCTGTGAGCTGCGTCTGAACAGTGAAGAGGAGCCCACGAGCTCCCTTCGACATTGGCAGTGGTTGGCAAGGTGTCTGCTAATGGACACCTGTGTCCACGGCTGGAAAAATGTTCTGCCCCAGATCCTAAGCTTGCTGGAGTCTGGGCAGCTGCTGAGCCCGAGTCTTCCCTCGCTTCACTGAAGAGTTGGGAGACAGCTACCTATGGCTGCTTCTCAACAGCAGGTGAAGAGCCGTCTGGAACCAACCAGTTCTTGTTGAGCTGGGAAATGCTCCAAAACCAGTCCTTTGGCTGCCGTGCAGGCCGGGGGCTGGGGAGTCACATGGCTGGTTGGGGGGAGGGGGGAGAGAAACACTCCTTTGGCTTTAAAATGTACCCTTTCCCCCAATTTATTACAACTCAATTATCTATTCTTTAGGCTGTTTTCCAACTGTTTTATTCATTTATTCTGAATTAAATTGTATTGTTCTGTTTTAAAGCAAAGAAAGAGTTTCTTCTTTGGGCTAAAAGATATTTGTCCTAACATGTTATGGTTCTTTAAAATCAAACAATTCCACCCTAGCTACAGTGTGTGAAATGGCCAGGTGTTCCCTCTATCATGTGTTGATAGCATGTCTGCACACGGGAGCATGGCTGCCTCCAGACACACTTAGAGATGTGGCTTTCTGACACTGGAGGATGTGGGTGAATGTGTGCCCAGTGACATTTTAATCAGGTATCCACAAAATCTATTTAAAAGGCAAATGAGGGAGTTAGTTACCTAGAAGACAGTGACTTTATCACATAGTCCAAGTAGGAAGCACCAGAAGGGGAAAAAAGGCCCTCAGAGTCCAGCAAAGCTGTTGGGCTCTCAAGAAGTTAATCGAAAACACAAGAGGTTCTTCAACCACCTTCTATAATTTTATTATGTAGCCCCTGCTTTTTCCAGTCTGGTGAAGATTGCTTTTGAATTTCAAAAAAAAATAAAAAATAAAAAATCACAAAACCATTGGTCCCTAAAACTGCCTTCTTCGACCATCAGTAGGACAAATCCCATTGTCTGAAGGTCTGCACATCTGCAGCAGGATTGATCTTACCAGAAGTTTGACATTCATAAGAAGTGGAATGAAAAGCAGCAGTTTTACCTGCAAAAAGAAACCTCCTCTTCAAATGGTGAGTGTTCTGGTTGGGTTCCAGACTTAAAGTCACTGACATTGAAGTACGAGAGGGTGTGATTGATGAAGCCGTGCATGGTTCCATTGTGACTGTACGCGTATTGGTAGACAAGGCGTGGAATGAAATCCGAAGTGACTGAAATGACAAAGGCCTGGAAGAAAAAGAAGTCATTTCCACAGGAATCTGCAAAGGGTGCAAGGTATGGAGATACCTTCGCTGAGGAGAACGTTGCCAGAGGAATTTCTAGAGAAGGCCCTAAGTGGCTATGAGATCGTATCCCACCAGAAACGCCTCATCTGCCCGAACCTGGAGGATGACCAAAGATTTTGGCCGTTTAATGGGAACAGGAGTTTAGTGGTGGGTCAGGGGACCCAATCTGCCGTGCAAAACACTGGACAGCCACTAGATGGCAACAAGGTTTGGGCGCTGTCTTCTACTGGGCATCTAGGTAAGTTCCCCCTACTCTCATCCACATAGACTAAGTGTAGTATCACTGGGGAGAAGAGATATTAGCACCTCACCTTGTACATAAGGGGCCAGAAGCTATTTGCATCACCAGATAAAAAATTACAATTAGTCTCAAAAACAGGATCAGCTGAGGAAGGTGGTTTTGAATAATTAATAATCATTGAGTGATTAATGGGAATCCAGTACTCCTAATCAAAATGTCAGACTCTGAACTCTATTCAGCTCATTTTTAGGGGTGCAAAGAGGACAAGCTCTACAAAGCTATGGGATGGAATGGAATGGAAGCAATATTTGATTTAGTTCCTGCATAACAGGAAGGTCACTTCCCAGTTGGAAGGGAGGGCTGAGCTTTTCCTGGGCTGGTTCTCTGGATCTACGATGAAGGAAAAGACAGAAATTGTTGCTGAGGAGCTTGGCCAAATGATGAGAAAACGAGCCCGTCTGGTGCTGGGTATTATCCAAGGACAGAGTCTTTGTTTTATGGGGAATTCTGGGAGTTGAAGTCCACACATCTTAAAGTTCCCAAGGTTGAGAAACACCGTCCTGGGGCTTTTTACACCCCCGCCCCTCCCCAAAGCCTGGACTGTGATGAGAATATCCGTTATACCTGCAACACTTCTTATGCTGGCAAATATCCAATATGCTGTCAATTGGGCTATCAAAAAAGAAAAGATGGACTACGGTATTTATGAATAAGATCACCAGTTATATATTTCATGAGAATATATGAGTTATATATTTCAGAGAACTCAGCTGAGATTTCCAAAGAATTTGGCTCCATCGGATAGATTAGATTTATGAGAAAAAGCTTTTAAAAATTATGTACTGAGGTATCAACAAAGATTTTATACTGGCACACAACATTTTTAGAATAAAAATGAACATAAAGTTATATTTGACTGATTGTATCACATTTCTTATATTGCATCAGTAAGCTTGAAACCAATACTCACATTAATTATAACTGAGAATTTTCCAATGCCACTCAAAATATTAAACCAAATTCCTGTAAGAAAGCATAAAACTCTGTTAAGATCTCATTCCAGTTCTGGCTAAGCAAATTCTGAGTATCATCATCTTTATCTTAACTATTTCAACATGCTTTTTCTTAATTTTAAAAAAAACCACATACCTATATCCTTTGCTCTTACGGTATCAGGCCTTCTCAGCTCAGCCACAAACTTTTTGGCATCAAGCCGAACTTCAATGACGTTGTTCAGCAAGGCGAACACCGGAGCCAGAGGAAAGGAGGCCACGAAGAGTGTGACAAAGCCGAACTGTATGACTAGAAGACAAGGAAGGAGGAGCAGAGGGATATGAGCGGAGGGATAAATGGCCACAGTAGATATAAGCATTTAAAGTGGCAAGTATCTACTTCTAGAGAAGGTGCATTCAGCAACTCGAATTTACGTTCTGGTCTCAGCAGATAGATGGAATAAACAAGCACATCTCAGGGAATGAGAAGTGGTGGGTGGCAGAAGTCTCCGTCTCTTTCCCTCCGTCCCTTGCAACATCATGGCTTGACACACTTCCAGCACTGGTGTCTGAGGAAAGGGCCCTTCTTTAGGTTTGGGTGGGCTCTCACAAGGAAGCAACGAAGGCCTTGAGGCGAAACAGATCTCTAGCCCTGAATGGAAGCCGAGAACAAGATGCCTCGTGACGACACAGAGACGGGCATGCAGGGTTTTTTGACAGGGGTTTGTCATTCCCTTCTTCCCAGATGCTCTTTCAACTTCTCAGGCCAGCCTACAGACCCAGCGTATCCTGGAGGTTTCCTGACCCAATACTAACTGGGTCTAGCCCTGCAGAAGTGTTCAAGGTCAGGCAAGGACCGGCACGGTGCCGCCACCTGCTTGCACCCTTCACAATGGAAGGGAACACTAAGGAATAGTGCAATGCTTTTGGTCCAGTCCAATAAAATTTAAAGCTTTTTCTTGGAGACCTCTGGATGGATCAAAAAGAGCAAATCATGGTATTCTTCTCTAGTGTGCAGAGACACGTTAAATGCATAGACTGGAAATTGGGGATAAGGCTGAGAAACTGGATGCGTTTGAACAGTCATGCTAAGCTGAATTCCGAGTTCCTTACAGGAAGTGTGCAGGTCCTGCTGGCTCCCCTTAGGAAGCAGCTGAACAAAGTACAGAAGCATCTGGTTGGTTTGGTGTCACATGTGACCTGGAAAACCCTTAACAGGCCAGGGTTCAAACCCACTGTTTCTTCATGACTCCCAACTCTGATCTTGGGGGAGGAAAAGATCCAGAGTTCCTGGTTTTCATGTCATGCAAAACAAATCACAGACAGAACTGTAGGAAGTAATTTCACCTCTTCCACTGGTGGGAAGAACCAAGGTAGGGCCATTCAAGGTCTTCAGAAGTTTGGGTTATCCTACTATGCAAGTGCAGCCAGTGTGTTGGGTTCAAGCCTGTGTGGAGACTGATAAGACCTTGAGCCAAGAGGTCATCCTAGATGCCAACAACACTTTGGGCCAAAGAAGGCTGCAAGGAGCTCCAAGACAGAAGAGAAGTCACCTGAGCACAGCAGGCGGTATTTCCTCTACTTTGCAAACAATCAATTTCTGTGCATTTTCCCATGTCAGATATAGATGCATTTTGATATAATGTGATTAACCCTATAATAATAAAATCATTTTAACAGTGAAGATAATAAAGATTAAAATAATTATCTTATTATTTTGTTGTATTATTCTAAAGCAAAATCATACAGATTAAATTTAATGAGTTTTGGATTAGGTCACTGATAACAAACAATCGGAAGACTCTAATGCTTGACCAGCTATGGAGGAATCTTAAATTTTCTTGCACTGTTCTCCTTCTGTCCTAGAGGCCAGATCTGAAGTGACAAGTCAACACAATGTTTATCAGCCCCAAGGCCTTTAGTTTCATCACAACACTGTTTTATTACTTCTCATTTGTAGAGAAAGCTCTCTATTTTGTAGCCCAGAAACCTTTGAAATTATTGCCAGCAATTATTTCCCGTGTAATTTTTAGTAGTAATTAATGTATACAACATGCCTCCACACGCTGCCCCGAAACAAAAGTTTCAAATCCAACAACGTCATGAAGATTACTGAGGAATGTGGTTCTCACTTTAAGGATGTTTCATTTGTTGGTGTCTGAGTGTGAGGAGATTTTGATGATTCTCCTGCTTTGGGGAAAACATTTCCATATCTTTAAAATTAATCCTGTTGGATTTAGAGATACTGAAACTAATTCTGCCTTTGCTTAATGTTTGTAAGAAGGACAATCTCACTGTCTCCAAGAGGAAAGAATTAATTGTGTCATATTTTACTCTTATAAAAGATCCCTGGCGTATTTCTGTGATACTTGACCTTGAGTCTCATCTGAGATGTGCTGGATGGCAGAAGGAAGAAAACGAACTGGAAAAAATAGATTCTTTGCATTTTAAGTAGACGTCACTTTTGGAAATGACAGCTGGATGAGGGATAATATTGGTTGTGATTAACATAGTTACTTATTTACAACCTGTATACAGAATGAAGCTGGTAAGCCAGGAATCAGTGATTCCCAGATAAGACAGAACTACTATGTCAGCATTAAAAGAGGTCTCAAGGCCAGGAAGAGAAGGGCCAACTTTGCACCGATTCAACAAGACAAAGAGGCCTAGAAAACTTTGGAGCAAAAATGTATATAGGCTCTGCTTTCTCTGTCCTGCAAGAGGCCAATCTTTTACGCATATGTAGTTTCATTCTTGTCTTCAGCAAAGCAACCAAGCTAGCCGTGTCATGCCTATGAACTTCGGTTATAAGCAAATTCCCAAATATGGGATGAAGTTTCTGGAAAGTTGAGATTCATTGTCACATTTGATGTGAAACCTGATAGTTTAAATCAACTTAAATCTCACTTTTAAAATAAAGCAGCCTATAACATAAAGTGTTTAAGTCCACTCTTCTTCAATTTAGATGTATTTATTTCAAGGTTCAAAGGCACTATCACAGCTCTCAGTGGCTACTCTATGTCTAGTGTGCACCACGCATGCTATGAACTTCCCCATTTGCCTTTCCCAGTCGCTTACGTCTCTATGGTTTTTAGCTTGCAAGAAACCCTTGAAGTTAATTAAGTGATTAAGATGAAAGTACAAATAATTATTTTGTTAGGTTAACAAAAGATAGAATTTTCTGGTTCCCCCCAAGTCACATACTTCCCTAATTCTAAAATATCAGTGAAAATGCATCAAATTGATAGGAAGCTATTACAGAACGTGTTAACTGGACTCACAGCTGGCTGAGTGGAACACCAAGAGAGTTCATGAATGGCTTGCTTCAGCCTGGAGGGGAGTATTGAATGGAGGGCCCAGACCCTCTCTAGGACCTCTGCTGTTCCACATTTTTATCAATGACTTGGATGGGGGAGCTCAGGGGATCGTTAAAAGATCTAGACAGGTTTCCATCAGATGGAATGGAATAGGGATAAATGTCACATTCTGCCTCTGGGAAGGAAAAATGAAGCACAAGGATAGGATGGGGGATACCAGGCTTGTTCATGTGATATAGATCTGGGTGTCCTCATGGGCCACAAGTTGAGTGTGAGCCAGCGGCGTGATGTAGCTGCAAAAATTATTTTTTCCAGGAGGAAGAATTCAGTGCCATGCCAGAGGCTGCACTCTCTCAAGTCATGGTGTGTGTGTGTGTGTGTGTGTGTGTGTGTCAGGCCTTCAAGGTTGTCAAGATCAGGAAATAAACTCCACAAGAAGACTAGAACTATGCTCTAGTAGCAGAATCTGGCAAGCCTGACTGTTTTCCCTCCTCTTCCTCTTCTATCCCACTGAGTCAGGGGGGAGCCAGCCTGAGCCTCTTCCTAATACTATCTCCTTTCCCAGGGCTTAAGGAAGGCTT